AATGATTAAAAAGAAGGAAGCTGCTACCAACCCGGAAATCCCAAGAGGAGTTATCCCCATTATCCCAAATGAAACCAAAATACCAAATGAAGATAAATCAGTCAATGAAAAGGCTGAATTTATGTTAGCTATGTTTCAACAATATGGATTAGATACTGTGATTTCAAAAATAAATGCAGCCAAACCCACCAAAGTAAATGAAGTCTCTACAGCTAAGACTACTGTCGCAGTTCAGCCAGTCGATGACAAACAGAAAAGACTCAGAACTGAAGAACCCCCAGCTGCTAAAAAATCAAATTACGAATGGAAATTACCAAAGAAGACTACAAGAATTACTGAATCTCAAAAGCCAATGGAAAAAAGAACAGATTTCAAATTCTTCGAACTCGGCCTGATAATACTGAAGGAGGAAATGCCAATGAAGCCACTCCCCCACCCATTGTGCTGCCGAGCAACCATACTGATTGGTCTGAAATGGACGCAGTTTTTAAGCAAAATTGTAGTTGCGGAAGCCAGCACCAGATGGCACCATGTTCAACCCCCAGCTAACCCTAAACCTCGATTTTGGGCTTACTTTCCACGACTGACAAGAGAAGACGCCACCCAAACAACTTCAGTTTCTACATGCACCTTCATGAACTTTTCTCATCTTTTCCACTGCTCATCCTCACTTTTATACCGCCATCAGAGGGTGACCAGTTCAGCATTTTTTCTTCTCTTTTCTCTTCTAGCTTCCTTCTGACGACCTCCTGCTACAGGATGCACTTGAGTTCTCCACAAAGCCAGGTCCTTCGGGAGTTCTTTCATTGCTATTGGGAAGTACTACCACAGTGTAATAGAAACCCAGCAACACCAACTTAGTATCTTATTTTCGTTTGTGCAAGTAAAACAGCAGATATTATCAAATTGTATCATTAAGTGCTCATCAAACCTACCTGTGTTTCCACAATCATTTAAACCTTTCTGGGCAGGTATGCCCCATACGCCACAGTAACATTCAGTTTAATCTAGGGCAAGAGTGACATTTGCATCTCCAGCTAGACTGTTGTAACATATATGTAATAATCATATGGAATGAAATGTAAATATTTTTAATTCTAACAGATGGTGCCCTATGTGCATGGTAGCAAGCTAAATGGGAATTATGATACCTGAACTTTGACCATGGATTATTTCATTTGATTCTGAAGAGTAGACAGAGGCTTCAGTAATGCAAACAAGCATACTTGGTCTTTATGCTCTTGTGTTTCTTTCGAGTGGCTTTCTGATGGAAGATTATCTCGTATCAGTGCCAGTTTTACCTAGTTTCTTCTTTTCATGCATAAAGTAGTGTTTTTTCTTTTGCGTGAATGTAACATTTTCGGTTTTTGGAGAGGAAGGACATTAAGAGCAGGGTTGCCACACTAACTGGAAAAAGTCAGGGAATTCGAAAATTGACCAAAAAAATTGAGGGAAAAATCAGGGAATTTAAATGTTTTAGTCAAAATCTGGAAAAGTCAGGGAATTTCATACAGCTATACCCCCCCCCCAAAGAGCGAGTTTTGCGCCGACGTTGGAAGCGATCACATTCTTGGCGAATTATGTATTGCGTGAGCATCATTCGGCCAGCTGGCATAGAGCCAATTTTTGCAGCTGCAATCAGATTGTTTTTTTAGAAAGGCAAAGCAAGTTTCCAGCAACTTTTGGTTTCCAGTAACCTCGAGTATCGAGAGACTCCCATGCGCATATGCAGTGCATGTTGAACTAAGGAAAATATGTATTCTCGTATAAAATCAAATCAGTTTAATCCTAGTATAGGGTACTATGGAGGTTAGAATAGCCTCCATGTACTGTATACATGAGATTTGGGGATATTATGATAAGCAGTAAACGCGTCATTTTGGTGTTGGCGAAAATTTTCAAAATCGTGCCGAGGCCGTAGCGTGTACTAGAATTTTCCTGCAAAATCTTTTTAACCCCCTTTTTTTTTTAATAAATGCCTTATTTGTCATTTTCCAGTAAAATAAAAAAAAATAGTAAATCAGTCACCTAGACTAACCATTTATCGTTGATTATTCTAATTCAATTTTTAAATAATTATCTTTACTTTAATGTTATTTGTGTGGTTTAATATTGCTGCTTCTCTCTAAATTTATTTATTAGTAAATAATACTTTCAAATTTCAGGAAATTTTCTCTGGCATAATCCTGAGATTAATTCTAGCAATACGATGACATGCCATCACAAAATTTAATGCACATATTTTTTGCTTATAAATGCTTTTAAATAAATATAAAATATCTGAATTTATTTAAAAATATCATTAAATAGATTTTTCTTTTGCTTAGCTGCAAAATGTCTGAAAAAAAAAAGACATATTTTAGTCCAGATTGCACAGATTCTGATCTCAATCTTCAGTGGATAAAACAACTCCTATTATAGTTATAATAGTAATGCTTGATTATATACAGTACAAAGTCTGTAATCTGGACTCGTCAGTACTTCGAGGATTCCGGATTAGGGGTTTTTCTGAATTATGGATCATTATTTAAATCTGGTAAGATGGCATGCAGAAATTATACAATATGAAACCATAATTTATGAAATAAAGAGCAATTATGATCTAAAGGGTATCAAAATTTGCCCAAAAAAACTTAATATTTATTTGTTTACTTTATTAAACATTTCTTCCAACGTAAGTTGTTTAAGTTGCTTCTTTTTTTTCCCCCCTAATACTTTCTCTTTAATTCTATAAACAGTCATAATTTCTTGTTCAGTTACAAAGTTCCACTGTTCATGTTCTGTAATTGCTGAGTAAAGAATACCAACTAACTTGTAAATCGAATTTTTTTTCGTTTTCAATAACCTCTTTGTCACTTTCTTCACTATCGGAAGAGGCATTTTCTGGAGCTAGAGAACCATACTACAGATTTTGCCGTCCGTTAATTTATTGATGATTGGGGCATTGTCGTTGCAATTGAAAACTTCTGTTATATCATTCATCTTCATTTATTACCGCTTCCCCACATTTCTTAACAAAATCCAATAACTGGAAAATTTCACCTTTAGTTTGCAATGCTAAAAAACCTTCAAATTCACAGCTATTATTACTTGTCTACAATTAGGACAATTTTCACATCATCAGATAAACCAACCAAATTCTGCTGAGCCTCGGGTATGAAAAGACTTTCAAACCAATTATTCATTAACACTTATGATATCTGTGCTCTTTTATTTGCACGGCATATAACAGGGAACATTTTTACGCCTTTTAAATGCTCAAGGTCATGTATTTTTTCTGATTACGAAAAGCTTACAGTGCGTTCCTGTATCACTTCTGCATGCTTAGTCTTGCTTTGGAATCTTTGACACCAGTTGGAGCCTTTTTCTGTAGAGGTTGCCAAGGTATTTCGTGGTACATATTGCCAGAAAAGACCAGTTTCATCAGCATTGTAAATTTGTTCTGGAGATAATTGTTCACTAGTAATAATGGGTTCAATGAATTCATCTGCAAATTGTTCAGCAGCTTCAATATCAGCTGAAGCTTTTTCACTTGAAATTTTTAATTGTCTTAAACCATCGTGATTTTTTAATTTGGTTAACCAACCTGTTGAATATGTGCACTCAGTGTTTAAGTTCATTTCTTCATGAAATATTTTGGCTTGAGCCATTAGCATAGGACCCATCATTGGCGCACCCTCACTGCAACACTGTCTGACCCATTCAATCATCACTTTGTCATGATCGTCACTTTTAGCATAACGAATCCTTGTTCTGTTATTTATTGCAAGTGGGGTGTCGGAATCCACAAAAAGTTCAAAAAGTTCCTTTTTCTTTTTGCTTATGTCATATACAGTCGACTTTTCAATGTCATACTCCTCGCATAATTTTGAGATGGATATGCCTTATCCATTTTTTGCAGTAATTCCACTTTTTGTCAGATGAACATTGAAACATGCTTTCGCTTTGCATGAGGCGAAATCAGCAAACCTCGATGCTGTGTACATATAATACAATGAATAATATAATCAATTTATATATGTAATAATAATTTAATGCATATAATAAATTATTGCAATAATGTATATAATAATTTAATTAAATGTATCTAATACGCCTTATTTATTTTGCACTCTTAGTCCGAATATTATGTTTTATCTTTTCTGTCCTGAAATATGCAAAATCTTAAAATCCGCGCAACCTCTGGTCCCAAGCTTTGCGAACTTCTGGACTTTTATTGTATATCGATATCACTTTACACCAGATGTTAGTGCTAAAAATTGTATAGACTGAAATCAATTATTGAGCCACTTGTACTAAAAATTTAAAATGTATGTAAACTGGAAAAAAGTGTCTGTATATGAATCTTGTGTATGTGGAAAGGCATGCTGGGCTTTAGACAGTACATTCCATAGAAACGATCCTGATATGGTATCAAGATATATAAACTAAGTGAATCTGATATAGATTATGTTTGGAACTGTTTAATAATGTACAGGGAAAGTCTTGTAGTGAGAGGTGGTGTATGTGGCAAAACTTTGTTAAAACTTTAAAAAAAGTGATCTTTTGGGGAAAAGTATACAACTTATATCTGGATAGGTTTTTTTCACTTCACTCGCATTAGATTTATATGACACAAAAAACGAATGTTTGTGTTACAATCTTGAAGACAAAAAAAGGTCTGCCAAAAAATTTCCCATCAAAATTGATGAGATGATGTATAGTAAAAATATGTATCTGATTGCATTTAAAGATAAAACGAAAGAAGTAATGCTTTTAACTACGTATATGGACATCAATTTAGAAATCTTGGTAAACAAAATTACAGAATGAGAGAAAGTTAAGACCAAGCTGTATATTGCAGTACAATAAAAATATAGGAGTGGATATTAGTGATGCAGTCATTACTCATTATCCATCTCATAGAAATTCTTTCATATGGTATAAAAAATTGTTTTGGGGCTCCTTGACATTATGATCTATAATACTATGTTTTGGACAATGTAAAAAATGGTAGAACACACCATTACTTTAGTTTTTATTTAAAAAAATCGAACAGATTACAAAGAGGATCATGTCAAGAACAGAAATACCATTTTTCCTTTCAGAAAGGCATTTTCCATCTCTAATTCTAAATGAAGAGAAGATATATAGTTTGCTCTCAAAATATGCAGAAGAAGCAAGCTTCATGAAAAACATCTTACTTTAACCCTTTGCGTACGTTCCCCACGATTCTATGGGATACGAAATCCGTCTCGTAATACGGGCTGCATGGAGATATCGTATGCAAAGTTTAGTTCTCTTATTTTCAATGTGGATCCTGCTTTTTCTCCGTGTAAGCAGAGAATATTGTATTATTTATATTTTGCATTTCGTTTTGCACCTAGATGGCATTATAGGTTTATATCATTGTAAGGGAGTACTATCGTTTCTTCACAGCTAAACACAATCAATGCTGTAGCTTCTTTCATTATGGAATGATAAGAAAATAGTAAATGTGCTTAGTTCTTTTCATGATGCATCATCTGTATCAGTTTATTCAGGGACGGCAAAAGAAAACTAAAGCCAAAAGTGATTTGTGATTATAACTTTACAATGGGTGGTATCAACAGATGCAATCAGGAGATGTTGTACTGCCCTAGTACCTGAAAAAAAATTAAATATTATAAGAAAATATTTTTCTATATATTGAATCAAACAGTGTGAATTTGTATATAATATACAGAAAAATAACAAACATGAAAAAAGTCCTTATTGATTTCAAGCCAGTTGTGATCGACAAAATCTTTGACAAATATTCTTCTGCTATATACAATCATCAATACGGTTTAGTGATGATAGTATAAACTTTATTCGCCATGTAGTGAGGCATTTTTCAAGCCACATACTACCAAATTCTATAAAAAAAAAAAAAAGGAACCTAGAAGGCAATGTGCTGTGTATTGGTCCAGAAAAGCTAGCAATGGGGGGTACATACAATATGGTACTCGCATTTGGTGCGAGTACCATATTGTATGTTTTTTAAAAATTAAAAAACTATTAAAATTCCTGTGTTATACTAATTTTGTTTATAAAGATGTGGATAGTTATATATGAAGATAGAAAAAATATTTTAAAAAATTGCCGTGTATTTCAGGACCAGAATGCATCAAAATCTAGCCATACTTGGAGGGTTAAGTGCAAAGATTGTAATGTAGGAATGTGTGTGGATCCACACTTCAGAATATATCACACAGATTTTTTTAAACCAAATTTTAAATTTCATTGTAAAAATATGTATGTGTGTGTGGATGTGCCTATATAGGTTTGTTTCTTTATATATTAAATATTTTAATTTAACAAACGCTGAATGTTTGTTTTAAAATTCCTTTTTCACCAAGCATAAGGATAACTATTATTTGAGGTTTACTTGTACCGCATCCATTCAAGGTCACACAACAGGGTTTGCCTATATAGTTACTCCCCATTTCAGGCAGAGGTCGTTGGGCTCACAAGGCTCAATGCACTATGCAGATTGCGGAGCGAAGAGATGAAGGGCTGGTCATCTAAATGCTACGCTGGTACTATGCAGTCTGCCTGTCACCTCAGGACATTACCCAGCAAACTCGGTGCCATGCCACAATGAGCTACAGAACTGTCAGTTCTAGGTCTTACACCAGTTCTCAAGGTCAAACCATATAGACAATCCAACCCCAAATTCTGGAACCAGTAGGTTCATAAATTGTATACTTCCATGGTCCAGACTGCCTAGGTAGAAACCCTAGCCAGTAGCTTCATAGAATTCTTCTCTGTGTCAAACCCCAGGGTGGAAGCAAAAGATAAATGCATTTTCTGCAATATTTGAAAAAATAAGTTAACTGGTATAAAAATGAGTTTCTTCCGAATTTTTTAGCAAAATTAGGCTTAGCAATTGAGCATTGCCATCCTTTGCATACATTATAAAAGCTCAGTGCTCCGTCTCATAGCGACAGGCTAGGAGATCTTGCTGTCATCTAGAAGGGCTTAAAATAGCTCTTTAAAGAGTTCTTCTGTCACGTAAAAAAGTTTATAAGTTTATTTCAATATACTACTCTTGTGCAAGTCTGGACAGAGAATCAGCATTTTTCAACTTTCCACTAGATCAGTATGAATTTTTTATGTTTTCAGAATGTGTAGCATCTTAATTACATAAGTTATTGGCTTATAAGCAGTCTAAAGCAGCCTATAAGCAATTGAGTTCAGTAGGCGAAGAAAAAATCCAAGTTTGGATTTTGACAACTCTAAATTACAGTATAAGCTTCTGTTTCAGTCACTGATTATTTCTTCTGAGTTCTGTAAGTTTCTAACTTGCAAGACGTATAGGATATAATTTACCATTGCCATCTCATTGTGACAAGCAACTATGCACTTCAGTCGAAGAATCATCTGTCTGGAAAATAAAAATCTTTCTTTTAATCGTTGTGTACAAGTTCGATACATTCTTAAGTATACAAGTTTTTGGAAAGCTGTGTCTTAGAATTCCGAACGTAGCATCATCTCTGGTACCTGCTTCTTAGTTAACTCTATAATTCAATACTCCAGCTGAACATAATTTTTAATATATTCTCTGTAATAACTGCATAAACACAGTAATCTGCTAAGTTTTGGTCTGAGTAGACTTCAAAGCCTTGATAGGTTTCAGTTCACCTGGGAAGGGTAAGTACTTGCTTGATCGAGGTCAAATATTCTGGATCCTTTACTTGTGAATTTGAAAACATGTTTCAGCGAAATGAAAATCTTTCAGTTTTATAATGCAACATCTAGATGTTTGTAATGAGATTTCCAGTCCGTTGAATAAATAATAATATCTGTATGCTCTACTGAAGTCCTTGTAGTATGATAAATCCTCATTTAAGAACTATATTTAAATGCTTCAGCTGCAATTTGTAAACCATAATGAATGGAAGAAAAAATTTCTGGTTTAAAGTTTTGAAAACACTCAGTTTGTTATCAATAGCCTGCATTTAAAATTATGCAAGAATTCCAGAAAATTGTACTTCAAACAAAAAAACTGACTTGTTTTTATAGGCCTTTAACAAATAAAATGTAAGACATCATAACTGAATATGAAATCTCATCACCCGTGAAAGTTGACAGTGATCCAGCCAGTTTTATTGGGAGAGGTTTGAAGAAACAGATTGCTCTTTATTTAATTAGATAATCAACACATACAAGATACTGAATCGCTTATCATTTGATATGCATTGTTTAGCCATTCTCTGATAAGGTTGCATGTCATGCCCGTTGACACACTGCTTCTCAATGCCACAATCCCTAATTTTGGAAATATTTCCCTTCTTGCTCTGTCATAGAAGGTAGGTCTCAAATTTTAATCATTTTTTCAAAATGCTAGGGAAAAATAGATAAAAAGCCACTAACTTACATTCCTTCTGTATAGAAAATTTAACCAGCTTATTAAGAAATAATTGGATTTACATAAAACCATGGCGAGATTTGTTGCATAATTCTTATCCATTATTAGCACTGTCTAATGACAATTTTTTTGTTTGCGGAAAATGGTACATTAGGAAAGGCATCTATGAGGGGTCTCTACTTCTAAGGAAGAATCCTTGGAATAATGCTATGGATGCAATGATCGGGTTGTAAACAACATCTGAATGAAAGCTGTATAACTGTATTCAGAGTTTAGTTGGTATAAACAGTATTCCCAGTAGTAGTCATCTTATGATGCCTTTACGAGTCTTTAAATTGAGTAATTTTTTTGTTAAGTCTCCAGTTACTTTAGCTTTCTGGTTAGTTGAATGCCAGAGAGTTAGGCTTTCATTTTATTGTGTTTTTAAAGTACACCATATTTCTAGCAATGATATTTCTTCTTTTCAAAATATTTAAATTATTGGGATCCACATTCTGTGTAATTTTTTTATGTCTGTATATTTTCTATGAGAAAGTCATCATTTGAAATGACTGCATTTAATCAAAAATCTGTAGCAAGGGCCATGCATTTCTTGTGCTGACATAAATAACTTGATAAGCTGTATCAGCATTATATGGCTCAGTTAGACCGAGTTCTTATTCTTTTACTTATCAACAGTTTTACTTTTTATCCCTTTAGGAATTTTATAAATTGTTAATTTTATTTCTTTCATCATCAGAATCAGCCTAATTTTGTTAGCTTATATCAGCAGTTTGCACTTTCCTTGAAAACAAATGGAATAAATTTTTGGTCTATCCTCATTTAAATGTTGCATATTTATGTCCTCTAAATATTTGTTAGGTTTATTCATCTTATGCGTCTGAGTTGAAGTTTTTTTTTTTTTTTTTTTTTTTTTTTTTTTAATTAGCCTTTTTCAGAAATAACACAACTGTTCTATTTTACTATTTTAGGACAGAAACTAGAATAGTACTTCTGAATTATATTGACTTGAGCATCTCACACAGATCTATCAATGAGTTTTACTCAATAAGAGTGAAATAAACATTGATCTGTAATTTCTCCTGCTTCAGTCCAGTGTGCATAAAATTTATTTTGCAAATCAAGTAATTACTTGTATCAACCTTAAAAATTTAATTAAAATTAATTTCTGGATGATGGCTGTGACTTGATATATAAAATCTTGATGATATTTTACTTCAGTCATCAATTAATTTTAAGTTACATGAAATTCTGTAACTAGGATTACTCTATGACCTTTGTAAGTTGTTTTGATAACTAAAATGTTTACTTCTGAATGTGAAAAACATATCACATTCTTTGCTTAATTCAAAACTTGTATACCAGTTGTCACATTCCTGAACACTTATGTGCAATGCAATTTCAGAATCAAGAGTTTCATAAAATTTCTCTGCAGCTATCAGTTTTTAATGAAAGATGTGAAATCTATTACACGTCTTAATTTATAATAATAATCTTGGTTAGTTGTCAGTCTTTGATATAAATTATACATGTGTTTTAGTAGATTCTCAGTTAGCCTTTTTAAAAATTATCTAAACTGGATGTTTTGATGCTTTTTATCAATGATTCAACTGATGCTTTGGTTTCAGATCCTACTAAAATATTCAAATATGAATTTCATTTATCTAAATTAAAGTTTTTGCATGTTAAATCTAATTTTTCTTTGCTTTTCATTATATCTTTCTTCTGCTTTAATCTTATTTTATGCTTCTGATTTTATTTTTAGCCTTAGACTTAATCATCAGTTATAACTTAACATAATTCTTTTACAATATCTGGAGCGTTTCTAGAACTTTTCATCATTTTCATTGTTATTAAATCTGACCTTTAAATCTAATGTTACAGTCTCTTCCAAATTATTGGTAATCAGTCTAAATTTTTTTTCTTAGAATTTTGCAACATTTTTAACATAAATAAAAATGTCTTACGTTGGAGTTTTAATAAATTATTCTTCTTGAGCATAATCCACACAACTCTGAGTTGCTCACAAATATCCAACAGCTTATATCATGCTAGCATACTGCAGCCCATCCATGGGGCATGTATGGTTGTTTGACTCAAAGCAGTTACATCTCTTTTTTATTACTCTATAAACAAGCTTATTTACGCATAAAAAAAGTATTTTCTTATGCATATGTTGAATATCTCGTACAGTTTATCATGGTTTTCTCAATAAATCTCAATCAGTACTTTTGTTTTCTTGAGTTGTATAATGTGATGCTTGCAGAGAAACACACTCTCTCTCTTCCTTTCACTTCTTCTTTTACCTTACATCCAGATTACTTACCTGAACTTATTAATGCAAGCTTTAAAAAAAAAAAAAAAAAAAAGACCAAGCTGAAGCCTAAAACATATTTTCCTGGATTATTTAAACTTTCCTCTCCCTTCTCTCATTTCTGACATTTTTATGAAAGGCTAGCAGATATCTCAGCAAGTTTTTTTTTTTCAAAAGATCTGCTCTCTTAGCATAACATTTATATATCCACTACTTTAAGATTTTGATAGTTTAAATATATATTTGTGCCAAAATTAAAGTTACAAACACATTTTTTGCAATAATTCAAAACAGCGGCTACTAATATTTAAAAATTTATTGTCATATATAATTTCGGAAATTGTAATGTAAATTTTTATGTTAAAAGGGTGCATTTTGTAAGAAAACATGAAAGCATCATTTTCTATATATGTGAAATTCATCAATAAAATTCTGTTTATTGCAAGAAAAACCACAAAACAGACTGATTTCAGTTGATTTCTGGGAGTCGATTAACAGTGGATTGAGATGGAGAACACTCGATAAACTTGGGGCTGACTATTGTCAGTAGAGTTCACATGTTTGATTTTGAGGATTTCAAATTGAGATGTCAGGCTTATGGTACTAATTCTAAAATGCAGGTACTATCATCATGAAGCTTAGCCAAGGTCATTTAAGAGTCCCAGTAGCTACAAAGGCTCAACTTCTGCCATTAAATGCATGATGCCATAAAAGAATGATTTCTAGTGAGCGATCTTAGGACCTCTGTGCTGCACCTGGAATAATAATTCCTAGACAAACTGTAACAGGTGCCTAATAAAACAAGATCTTTACACCCAGCGGTTAGCAGTATGTATTCTCAACAGATTGTTGAAGAGAGTCCACTTTTTGTGGAGTCAGGCAGTTACTCTGGAACACTGAGACTAGGACAGTCATTCTCTTTTAATGAAAAGCTAAGATCCCATACCCCAAATGATTCTGATTGAGTCTTCATCTGATGAGAGTATGAGCCCCACTGTCATCTCTCCAACATAAGAGAAATGGATCCTGATGATCTGGAGAGAAATCATATTACTGTGCACCACTGTATGTCTTTGATGCTGGTATTGTGATCCCCAAAGATCACCCCCGAAGAAAGGTATGGTAAGCCCTGAAGAACACAGTACTTGAAGAAATTGGATACCTTTCCCTGAATTACACGGTTTCAAGCTACATAGTTTTTGAGTAATTCTAGCTGTCCAAACGTGGACTTCTTTTCGTCTGCTGAGTAGGAAAGAAGGATTTTCTCTCTGGCAGTAAAAAGTTCTGGGTGCATTCCAAGTCCATTGTAAAAGTCTCTTTTTCTGGACGCTTACCCAAGTTTGGAAAGAATTTTCAATCTTGGATCGCATGAATACTGTGTTTTCATCTATAAGTGACCTTTAACTCTTTGAAATCCAGACCCTTCTTTAATCTGTGTCCTCAAAATACCAAACTGCTCGAAATACTTTTCCACTTTCACAGAAATTTCCTCCCCTCCCCTCCCCGTCCATTTATACAGAAAATAGGTGTGAAGATTTCAAGTGGCATCCTTTGTACTTTCTAACAAAGATTCCATTAGCCTTTAACCCCATTCTTTATAAACCTATTCTGAAGGTCAGACCAACAAGCCTTTCTGGCTTTGTTATGATCATGACTGAGATTTTACTTCCGCTATTTTTATACAAAGAAATAAAGTTATTAAAAAATATATAATCTTTAAATTTTCAAACTGCACTTTTATTGCTGTTTAAAGCAAGCACACCATACCAAAAAACAATCAACAACAAAATGTCACGGGCAACCAAAGGATAAGAAACCTCTTAGGACAAGCTGTCTGCAGTAAACTGATACAATGCATTTGAGGAAACTTCACCTGCTACTGCATACCTTAAGGGGAGGGAAGAAAACAAGATTGCAATCTCAGCCGTTTTGGGGCGGTTCTGGTTGTCTCAATGTAGGGCCGTGTGGGGCGGATTGGTCGTAAAAGAGTTAAGCTTTGACACGGATCGCTAGTGGGAAAGCTCTTTTACTGGATATAGTTTATGAAGACTCCAATATTTCATGTAAAGACACCGAATACAATCAGATAATTAATGCTGCACGTTCGCTATGTGGTACAGTGTTTGATAATATGTTCGCTGAAGATGTTGATGAACTATTTTTACAAAAGAAATTGTATGACTCCAATTAAAATTCATCGACTAAAGAGGATAAAGAAAATTATGAAAATGTATCTAACCAAAATTTTTCTGTTGACAATGTACAATATGCATTACATTTGCAAAGAAATGGGAGATATTCTAAACAAAAAAGGAACATTGCAAGGTACAGAAAACAGCATTTGCAGCACAACATAAGAACAGTATTAAGCCATATAAAAATTATTTAGAGAAATTGCAACACAGGAATAAACCATCATGTAGTACTGCCAGATATTCAGATGAAGACAAACTGAGCAATGGGATATTCAGCATATCTCTTGGTTCACCTCCTACAAGGAAATATATTAAATACACAATGTTCCTAGATGACTCCAGTGATGAGGAGTAGATGGCATGGTAATGTAATTTTAATTCAAAAAAGTGATGTGTGGTTTGATGTCTGCTAGGCATTCAAACTGACTATTTCAAAAAAGGAATGTATTGCAAGATTTTTTTATATTTTGATAATTAAAATTTAATGTAAAACCTTTTTTGTAAACTAATTAAAAATTTATTTTAATTATTTAATACAAGATTTTGTAGAAGTGTTTACCAATATGAATTTAAAAAATATTTTTAGTTTTATATTTAACAAAAAAAAATTTTAAACGTAATTCCCACACACACACTTGAATCAGAATCCCCTTTTTTGTAATCTCAAACAACACGGTTTCAAAGAACAGGAACCAATTTTTCGTGTTCTTTGAGGGTTACCTGTATTGAAATTCTTGACCTTGTAAGGCTTTCTTGGGAAGCTGTCAGAAATTTTTTCATTTATTGGCAATAAAGCTAGGCCATGCAAAGCTCAACTATATGATGAGTTTCTGAAAGAGGGTATTTGGCATATGGTGTGCCTGTAAAGTTCAGGATATATATTCTATAGATCAGTGGTTCTGAACCTTTTGAATAATGTGTACCATCTAAACAAAAAAAAAAAAAAAAAAAAGTTTTAGTACCACCATTACATTTTACCATGATTATTTTTTAATTTCTCAATAGACATATTAAAAAATATATATTTTGCAATTTTGTGATCTATTGGCTGTTTGTATTTAAATATGCACACATCAAAATATTAGATTAAAAATTGGTTACCATTTTAATTATCAAAATTAAGGTTATAATACTTTAATTCTAAAACTTAGTGTGAATTTTGGACCTATTTAAGAAAGATCAGTTTCTTTATGTCTTATTTCACTTAGTTTTAACCTTAAATTAGGATCCACTTTTAATTTTGTTCTGTATTTATTTTTCAGATATAACATAGAAGATAATTCTTTGTTCACAGAAATAGGTTGTGTATAAAGGCATAAAAATTTAATAGCTTTATTTAAAGTGCTTTTAATTTTTTTTTTTTTTTTTTTTTTTTTTTTTTTTTTTTTTTTTTTTTTTAATGTTTAGCCAAAATTTATGAACTGTGTTATTTTTGAAATCTTCAGAGAGTTCAATCACGGGAAATTTCTAGCTAGTGTTCTTTTTCTTCGTAAGCTGAAATTTCAGGTACATTTGAACAAAATGGATTTCTAATCCAGTTTTCTTTTTCATAATCCTTGAGAAAATACATGTTGAAATTATTTGTCAATAAAAAACTGATTTTTAATGCTAATTCTTCTTTTATTTTTAGGTAAAAAACTTTCTACAAGTGGTAAAATGCTTAAAATAATATCCAATTCTTTGATTATTAGCTCGAGGTTTTTTTTTATCAGTGCATTTTTTTATCAGTAATGTTAAACAAATTAACACTTTATCATTGTAGTCTAAATTTAATTCATTAAACTTTCCAAAAATATCAGCTAAATATGCTAAACACGCCAACCATAATTCACTACATAAACAATTTTGGTATTCAAATTTTGAATCACTCAGGAAAATTGAATTTCTGATCGAAGTTCAAAAAACCAATTTAAAACTTACTGGTTACTCACCTTACTTTGGAATGTAATAAAAGTGTTTCAAGTTCACTGCCCATCTCTTGGTATAAAATCGTAAATATTCTTGAATTTAAAGCTCGGCTTTTAATGAAATTAACATTTTTCACAGCTTGATTCAAAATGATTTTCAGGTTTTTGCAGAACTGTTTTGGCTACTAAGGCTTCATGATGAATTGAGCCGTGAGTAAATTTAGTTTCAGGTGAGACTTTCTTTATTTGGAAGTAACACCGGAATGTTTTCTTGTTAAAGCCCGAGCTCTATCACTGCATACAGCAGTGCACTTATTCCAAGGCATATCATTCTCATATAAAGACTTGTCAGTTACTTTGAAAATTTCTTTTGCAGCCCATAAAGAGATTCACAGAATAAATACTGTTCAACAGTTCATTTATCTTCTTCGAAACATTTGTAAACTAATAATTGAACAACGTTCGTTATATCAGTACTTCCATCATCCAATTGCAATGTGAAACACTCATGTTTTATTTTTGAATTTTTTTTATTGAATTTGCCATCTCACGAATTCGTCGACTTACTGCATCATTTGATAATGGAATATTATTAAGTCCATTAGCCGCTTTTTCATTGAATAAAGTTAAAACATTATTTTTAGCTGCCGCTCTTCAGTAGTGTGAGCCTGCCCAGTCTTGGCAGTTTTTAGATTTACTGAGTAACTATGTTCCAAAGAATTAACAGAACCTTCCATTTTTTGTTTACTATTTTTAACTCCGCTAATTTCCTCTTAAAATATTCCTCAGATTTATCTTTTAATTTGGCATACTTAGATTCAAAATATCTTTTAAGAAACAATGGTTTTATACTTTTATTGGATAATAGTTCACTGCAACAACAACACATTGAGGTTGAGAGTCCATTTCATAGCCATTCTAAGTAGACCCAAATGATAAATAAATTTCACTATGTTTTCTATAAGCAATTTTTATTTTATTTTCAATATTTAGTGCTAGTATATTGACCTGGATCCATCACCTGTGAATCATCACTTTTCTGCTTAGTCAATCCTAGCCTTCATTCCATTTTGAAAATCTAGTTTTGCTTTATTATTTTTCCACAAGTATTTAAATGCCCAATACATTACAAATTCTTCAAAAATAAAAGACTGTTTTCTCACATCATGTAGAAAAGTAAGGAATACAAAGCAACAAGAGACTGCTGTTAGAGACCGAAAATAGATGTAAATCTGATTCTAATTCAAAATGGAACAATTTGAACCCAGAAATGGTGGCTACATAAAGTATAAATATGTTAATAAATCGATCAGTTCTAAAAGAATTAACGAGGCACCATTATCTTCTTATAGGAACATTTTTTTATTTCCTATTAAAAGTAATATACATTACTCTTTTAAAAAACATCATTTATGACAAATTTTTTGTGTGTATTGCTTAAAGAATATTTGTGAAAATAAAAACGGATTATTTTTCTACAGTCTGTCAGTGGCTGTTGGCCTTGAAAACAGCTCAGATCACATAAATTTACAAGTGGCAGTACTTAAACAGCATGTTGGGGTATTTAATTTTTTGATTTAATACAGTACAAAGTCCGTTCATCCATTATCCGGAATGATCTATAATCCGGACCTCAAAGCCTCAAACTTTACACATGCACACTTTGAAAGAAATGTTTAATAAAGTAAACAAATAAATATTAAGCTGTCTTTTTTTTTTTTTTTTTTTTTGTAAAACTTGATACCCTTTAGATCATAATTGCTCTTTATTTCATAAATTACAGTTTTATATTTTTAATTGTATAATTTCTGCATGCCATCTTACCAGATCTAAATTGATGATCTATAATCCGGAATCGCCGAAGTCCCGACGAGTTCGGATTACGGACTTTGTACTGTAGTTAAAAATACTTTGTTTCTTTGCATACCACCAGTTGATAATCTTTGCTATAGATCATGATTTTTATACTCTAAGAAGGGTCATTGCATAATGTTATCACTTCCTTAGCACTAAAATTCTCTTTTTTTTTTTTTTTAACACTAAGATTTGTTGTCAAAAGCTGTGATCATTAAGCTCATTTATACCGAATCAGGTCCATTGTGAGAGATGTAAAGATCTCTGGAATGGCCCGACATTTTAGCCAGACCTTTCTTGAAATGTCAAGTGTTGTCTTTTTTTGGGGGGGGGGCATATAAGAAAACATTTTTCTCCTGTATATTTTGCAATAGCTTTCCCATAGCATTGGCGTCTGCATAAAATTTAATTTTTCTTTTAATTCTACACCAAACCTAGACATGACCACCATCAGTCTGTGATGGGAAGCCCAATACAATTCAAAAAATTATTTACAGCATTAGCTATTGCCTTGTCTTAAATCCAGAACAAGTGACCAAATGATCAATGCACATGTCATCAGTATCACTTAATGGGCAAGGTGGAGCAACTGCTAAACAAAATCTGGCCATGAGGTAGTCATGTCCAGTTTTTAATCTAAAGTTAGTGAAACCAACACATCTCAGTAAGTCACAATTAATGAGATTCTCCATCAGGGAACCCCAAATCTTCCCCTTGACAAAGTCCCTGTTCTCAAAGATAGCTCTACATATGGGTTAAATGATTCTCTTAACATTGTGATAGTGAACAGGAGGATTGGGTTGAGGAAGGACAAATCCAGCCATGGCCCAGAGTTTCAGCAAACTCATTACTCATGATTCCACAATGACTTGGGATTCACTGCAGAGTAACATTGTGATTATTATTTTAGAGCAGATCCATTGTTTGAAAGTATGACTGAAAAAGCTTTTTTCGTAGTGGCCTATGAATCTAAATGTCACAATGTTCTGATTATCTCTTTTACTGATTTCAGTTAAGGCCATTTGAACAGCAGCCATTTCAGCGTCATAATTGGTACAATTCGCACCAACAGCCCCACTAAAATAAACTCCTGCATCAACGTTACTAGTAGCAATTATAGCAGAACCATATGTGCACAGATGCAACCAGTGCATTGTTGGAAATCTTTCTCCAATAGTGGCCAAAGCAGCCATCCTCAGTTTTCTCCCAGTGTAGGATTTTTTACTGGCCAACAGGACAGTCTAAATTGTAATTTGCCGAGTTCAAATGTCATAGAAACACAACAGTATCAAGTAGTGGCTGTCTGTTAAAAGAAGGGATATCAAAAAAATTAGCAGTTCATTGTCACATGTAAAAAATAGGTTGGGATTTAACATACATGCTGCAGGATTGTATATCTTTCAAAAATCACCACACCTTATGGATCTCTTGACCACTTATTTTCCTTTGATAAATCAGAGGTTCAATATTTGTTTGCAATTGCACAGCTTGAATAGTAAAAGAAAATGCTCCACTGGTGATGATTCTCTATGCATTTTTGAGGCATTATCACTTGGTTTATCCCACTGGTGATGATTCTTTATGCATTTTTGAGGCATTATCACTTGGTTTATCATAATATTTATGATAAATTATTTTTCAAGAATTGCATGTTTTGTGTTTGTAGTATTTTAGACACCCTTGTAGTTTTGTCTTATTATGTAAAGTATATGGCATCAAAGTTTTGATTATATAAGTTTCTGTGAATAATTTATCCTTTAGTTTTTTCTTGGCAGTGTAAAGAATTTGCTCTATCTATGTTATGTCCTGATTTCATTCTGCCTTGTATTGCTTCAGCATTTGGAAATGATCATCTTCTTTTGTAATGCAGTCTAGCTTCTACTTCTAGAAATGGCCATTTGTGAATTTTTCTGAAATTTTTAAGCTTGGTCCTTAATGTATTTTTTTAGTTATTAAATTCTGAGGCATTTTATTGTTAAACATTTCCTCATTAATGCATTCATCTGTAAATTTGTAGAAGTGCTGATTAATATTTAAATTTCTATTTCAGAATTTTTTATGGAACTAGATGAAGAATGCGGTTGCTTAAGCTTGCACAGTCCTTTTTCTGCATTGGTTCATTATGTCCGGAAAGGCTTGTACAAGTTAAAAGATGGTACATAATCGAATTCAACATTTCCAGTTTTTTAGTAAGCTTCATAGAGCTTTTTTCCCAAAAATAAATCCTTGTAGTATCAAAACTTGTGAATAAGTATGTTTCAGTGTACAAAATATTTTTGTACATAGTTATTAAATTGCACAGTTTCATTATACAACTTGTTAACAATTTACTGAAGGATTTTATTTGTAAAATCATTATTATTTATTGTTTATTATGAACTGATATACATAACTGAAATACTACATCATTCATCTGCGATGTGTTTGTTGTAGAATTGTCACTGTTTTTATATTTGTAAGGCAGCTTTTAGTGAGTTAGCATTTAATAATTAAGCTATTTTTTTTTAACTAGAACAGCACTTTTAACTTTTTTTGTAATTACCTTTTATAGATGTTGTATTTATAATTACAGAACATACATTAGTAACTTGAATGTTTTAATTTTTAACAATTGTATATATTCATGTATGCATGTATATGGTATTTTATTTGTGTGTTATTTATAAATTCATGTGTTAGTTTGTTTTATTGTAAATTATTCAGGGGATGGATACTGCCATTTGCTATATTTGCTTGTTTTAATTTTTATGGTTGATTAGTCATGCCTAAGCTTAACTGCTAGTCACTGGGCATTGAAACACACATTTTATTATATATTTATACATATTTTTATAGAAGTATTTAACTTTTATTTATGTTTTGTGTTAAATCTTTGTCCCAGTCCAAATCTGAAATCTGTCAAAGCTATACATGAATGTATTATGCATCCAAATATGATATGATCATTAGCACATACATTGAATTCACTTTTACGTCTTCTGTGCCCCCCCACCCCGTTTTTTGTATTTACTATGTCTTGCAAGGAAAATGTAGTAATTGAAATATATTTTACAAATTAATGCAAAATCTATACAACTGTGTAATTAAAAATGTATCATAGTTGATTCTTTCATTAATATGTCTTTGCTTAGCTTATTCATCATTTATTGATAGAGTATAATTTGGCAATTTGTTGCTTTCATGTCATGGATTAGCTTAAAATCTTCCATTTAAACTTCTGAAAAATTGTTTTAAATAGGAACTGAAAAAGAAATTAATTATTCTTTTGGAAGCTTCAAAGCTGAAACAAGTGGCCAGTTTTAAGTCATTAATTATTCATGCACAGAATCCTTAAATTTCTCTTTTCTGTGTTAATTGTACCAAACTTAAACTATGAAAAGTTCCTGATATTCCATTTGTGTGTTGATATGTATTGCAAATCAGTATGAGAAACCTTCAAAAAGTGTAAATTTTTTTATGATAAAAATAGCAATTGTTTTCTTTTGCTATTTCAACCTTGCTATCAAAATTTAATTTTGTATGTAGTGTAATTGTGTTGCAATGAATAGCATCATGGTCATAAGATGTCATTATAATTTTTTTTACATTAAAAGCATCTTTAGATACATAATTCTAATTTTCAAGATGATTGCACCTCTCATTTTATCCAGAATACTATGGGCTACTTAATAAAACCCATTCTTAATACTAATAACCCATTCTTGTAATTTAAAAGAATTAAAGTATGTAAATTTGAACTGCATAAATTAAGCAAGTAGCTTTTTCAGGAAATCCGGTATTCAATTAACCAACTTTTCTTGAATTAATTATTCTGACATGTCATCTAGTGATACTTTTCTCAGTACTTACTGATTATAAGCTCACACCCTTTTCTTTTTTTTTTTAGTCGCTAACCACTGGCAAATAATTTTTCACCAAGCTGAGATTCGAAAGACAACAGTAGTTTAAAAATAGTGGCTCACTAAAGATTAAATAAAATATTAATCAATTAACATAATAAAAAAATGCAAGAATCATCCATAATAAATTTCCATAATCTTATTTTTCTTATGCTGTTGTTCTCGTGTACGCAGCAGTCTGTTTTAGCATCAAAAACATCGGAAAATTGCCGACATTTGGCATCGTTCAACAACTTGACACAGCACATACTGTTTTTCTCTTTGCATATATGCAGCAATCTGTTGTTAGCTTCAAAAAAATATCAGAGAATTGCACTAATTTGGCATTGCAAATACTGTAAATCATATACACAGTAATCTTTGTACACAATCTGTTTTTACTTAAAAAATTCAGAGAATTGCATAAATTTTGATAAACTTGACTGCTTATGAAATGCGTCATGGAATGGGTGCTTTTGCAGTGTCTACTGTTTGGCAAAACTCAGTATTTCTGAAGAAACAATTTTTTTTTTTTTTTCATTAGGCAGCAAGCTCCACAGTCCCATTACATTTCCTTACAAGAAGAAAAAAAAATGCCTTAAATGCCACAAAAATAAACTAATGACTGTCTTCACTGCAACAAAAACAAACATTAATGATCATTATTAATACAACAAAAGTAAATATTTAATTTCTGCTGAATTGGCTCTTCTGCATGCCTCGCTTGCCACATTTGTATGCGTTTTGCCGATATCATGGGTTGCCTAGTTTGGTGATATAGTGGGTTAGTTTGGTGCATTGCCTCATGAGTATTTTTCAGAGCTATGCAGATAATCGAAAAGTACCTTTTTTAATTCTAATTTTGAATACTAGTTGTTACCATGTAGAGTTTTATATTTAAAATTCTTTAAGCAGTGAAAGGAAAGGAGCTGAGCTGCATGTTATAAAAAGTAAGGTTTTTAAATCTACATGAAGAAATGTTGAGAGTAGTAGAAAACGATAATCTACAAATTTTCATATATGCTTGATTCTCATGCAATAAATTACCCCTTTGAAATATTTCAAAACTGTGCATAGTCTAGAAATTTTAAAAGTGTACATAACTGTAAACATCATAAGTAAGTTTCTACCAGATTTGTAGCACTTTTAATGTGCCAAATTTGTTTGTTCTGAACACAAGAATTTTTCTTTTATTTTCAAGGAAGGCAGTGCTAGATTCTGAAAACAGTAATGTCCATTTAGCATAAAATTTAATAAATTTCAAGTAACTACATGTTTTGAAAATGCATAAGAATCTTAATAAATCTATGTATCACAAAAGTTTTATCTTTTGGATTTTGCATCTTCAGACTAGGAGGAAATCCAGATTCAGATTTCAATTATAAATTTTAAGTTATCCAGTATGTTCTCTTTTCCATTCATTTGATTAGTTAAAAATTGCATCTGAGTTTTTACTAATTGTGTGTGCAAATTGTTTGTGATTTTATTTCCTGTCTGTCTAAAAGTATATCATTTTTAAAATGGGCGTTTATTATATGAAAGTATTATATTTTATCTCATCAAAGGTAACAATGGGTAAAAACTTCAATTGTATTTCAGACTGTAGGTAGCATTTTTTCCAATGTATTTGCATGTCACAGTCATGAAGGCCCCTGCTGTTTCAAGGATCACCCTAAATCAGTGAATTGTTTTTAAGCAATGAACATGCAATGATCATGTGTCTGAAGATATGATTGCTGTACACTTTGTGAATCTGCCACTGATGTAACTATAATTAGTTATTGTGTTCATGCATTAAAGTGCAGTTAACTGATATTTCTTAGGATTAGGTATGAGAAATATTTTGCTGATAAATGAGATTATAAAAATAATGCTTAAAAGACTAGTTGCAATTAGTATGTTTTCTCATTACTAAAGATTTGATTTCTGTAAACCTTATGTGAAAGAAGACTAAAAATTAGTTTTAAAAGATGATTATTTAATTTTCCTGTGTGCAAATGCAACATGCAAATGTAAACTATGTGGCTGAAATTGTAGTTCATTCAAGAAGTATGTAATATGTTGAAAACCATTAAAAAGTACATAAATTAATGTCAAAAGTTTGTTAGTTGCTTATATGTAGCTAGTTTTCTGTCTCTGATAATTCTATTTGATTGACTGAATGCTGTTGAATTAAAACATTTGGTGAGACTTAATGAATAATGTAAAAGCTTACTGCAATTTCTAAAAGACATATTTAAACAAAATAATTATATGTGTCTCTAATTTCACTTGGAAATTTCTATGTAATTGTATGCTTAATTGTGTATTAAGTTAAAAAACATAACATGAAGTTAAAATTATTCCATCTTTGAAATAGCTTTCTTTCGTACTGTGTATTTATAAGTATTCATGTTAGAAACTGCAATATGTGCTTATCATATAATTTTCAAATTGTCAGTTTAAATCTTACAAGTATGTTTTGATACATAACTCACCTTAATCTTATGAGTATGTATTGATACTTAACTTACCTTCTTAAAGTCACCTTATAATGAATTAATTTATGTTTTTATTATAGCCCAAGCCAATCAAATTCTAATTTCAATTGTGAACAAACTATTCTTGGAAAGTATAGTTAGAAAAAGTCATATGTACAGTTGTTACGTATGCCGTAATTTTAAATGGCAGATATCTGAATTTGAATTTTGTATATGAAATACCTGTTTTTATGTGGCACTTATTTTATTCAAATTTGGTTGTAAATACTTTTTAGAACTGTCAGATAAATTACTGTTTATATCAATCAATGTAATATACGTCCCGGTGTTTTCAGTATGTACTGAAATATGTTGTTTAATAAATCAGTTTTAACTGATATATACCCTTCTACATGTAAAATAGTGTGCAGATAATTTTTGAAGTCATGTTTTTCATCTTTCGGTATTTAATTGAAACATATCTTGAACTATTTATCTTTTACTTTTCTACCTGTAATACAAATAAATGTGAATTACTTTGATGCAATCTAATGTATCAGATTAAAGCTTTCTTTTCTTTTCTACACTCTTCCTCTCAACTATCTAAAGAAACATTTTTTGAGGGGAATACAAAAATTCTTAGTTTAAGTTATATTGTTTCAACTGTATGGGTATCTCTGCTTGTAGAAAGATCAAAGTTATCAAAAATATGAATTTGTTGAATTTTCACATTATTGGTGATGTTGAGGCTTTCCTGAAAACTAGTTCTGACAAAATCTGAATATTGGGATTGTGAAACATAAAGGCTGTTGTGATTGAATATTATAATATTTTTTATGTGATTAAACATGTTAAAACTACATCAGCAGATATATAATCTTTTTATGAATAGGAAGTTATTTCTCTGTTCATTTGATGCTTGTGAAATCGGTTACAGCTTCTGTGGTCTTAATTTTTCCTACAGTTAGCCATATCAGTATTACAATGTAGCTGAACTTCAGCAACTACTATAATAAGTTACATATTTTAAAGAACATACCTCCACAAGAAATATAAATCTCAAATTTTCTTAACATTTTAATAAGGTTTATACATTATTTACAAATTTAAAAGAAACAGGTTTTGTAATGTGACATTTACTCTCTTTTTCCTAACCATAATCATATTTTTTATTTTTCTCTGATTGAGTCTGATTTGAATGAATCAAAATTGATGAAATTTTTACTGTTATGTTAGTCATATCAAGCTGAAGGAAAGAGCAAATACCATGTCCCACATATATATACTAATTTCAGACTATATTTTTTAGCATATCCTGAACTGTGTTTCTTATGTCAGTATTCAAAAATCTAATTTTACATGTATGTTTAATAATATATTTAAATGCAAAACTGGTACCTGAAATTTTTGCAGATATTTATCGGTCATTTATATTGATTTGATGCTAAGTATGCATATGCTTATTAAATGCATGTAAAGGTCAAAATCTTGAGAAGCTTTCATTCCTAGATCATAGCTTTTTTTCCCTCCATATTCTGTGATTTGATGGTGATGGTGACATTTATTTAAAAAAAGTAATAACTGTAGTTAAATTTTTATGAAATTAAGATTTGATTTGTAATACATTTGTTTATTAATAATAGGAAGTTGAATTGGATTGAATTTGTGCTAATTTCAAAATTTTAACATAGATCAGAGATTTTATATTTTGGCACATTGCTTCCTCTACCTGTAGTAAGAAAAAGAACTAATATTCATAAAAATTTCTATGCAGAAATTTTGATGTGAATAGGAAGTTTGACTTTCCTAAGTACTGCTTGAATACTTTTCAGAGATATTTGAAAAGTATTCAAGCAGAAATTTAGAACTAATTTTTCACAAAGATCAATAAATTCAAAGGCAATGATCTCATTAAAGATTTAGTACTTGATTTCATAAAACTCAAATTCAACTGTGCTTCTTCCAAATATAAAAAAAATATTCTGTACCATTAACTTTCTACATAAAAACCATGGTGATCTTCAAATTCATAAGATTTTTAAAGAGGAACAACAAAAATTTCCTGCAATAAATTCTAAAACTTTGGTTTGCTTCAAGTACAACAAAAAAACTTAGTACAGTAAACTCCGTAATCCAGACATCCATTATCCGAAATGATCTATAATCCAGACCTCAAAGCCACAAACTTATGCATGCACGTAAAGCCAGTAAAGCTTTTACCCAAGCACGCTTCCGATAGTGAAGAAAGTCACAGAGAAAACAAAAATATTTTGATTGACAAGTTAGTTGGTATTCTCGACACAGCAATTACAGGACTTGAACAGTGGAACTTTGTAACTGAACAAGAAATTATGTCTGTTTATAGAATTAAAGAGAAAGTATTATCACATAAAACGAAGCAACTTAAACAACTTAACATTGAAAGAAATGTTTAATAAAGTAAACAAATAAATATTAAGCTTTTTTTTTTTTTTTTTTTTTTTTTTTTTTTTTTTTTTTTTTTTGGTAAATATTGATACCCTTTAGATCATAGTTGCTCTTTATTTCATAAATTATGGTTTCATATTTTTAATTGTATAATTTCTGCATGCCATCTTACCAGATTTAAATTGATGATCTATAATCCGGAAAAACACCTAATCCAGAATAGCTGAAGTCCCGACGAGTCGGGATTACGGACTTTGTACTGTAGTTTTATTTCTAACCATAATGAAGAAGATGTAGCAGCACCATGATTTTGTAATGAAGAAAAATTTCTGCCTTTTGTTGACGATCAGCACAAGCATATTATAACAGGAAAATCTGGACATTATTCAAGATCAAGAGATTACACTGCTTATGAAAAAAGGGCTGAAGTTTAGACCTATTAAATTCATTAATAAAGTACATTGCATAGAAAGTATTTCTACAGATAATGTTAATTTCATCTTGAAAGTAAGTTTTCAACTAAGTTTACCTTCATGTCTATTTAAAGAATGAGATTATTACTCAAAGTAAAAGGAAAATTGAAAAAATTCAAGGATTTAAAGGAAATAATAACTGGAAAAATTTACTTCTGAAGTTTTCACAATTAAAAAAGCAATTTACCATTACCAAAATTAATAAAGCAAGCAATAATTTCAGTATTTTATGAAAAATATTCTACAATACTATAATTGAAAATGAGCTGAAAATTCATCTACCTATAGCAAAATAGCTATCTGCAAAAATAAAGAAAAACTTGTTATTAAGAAAATTTCTGCTTTTCACAAAAAATGGAAAGTTTCTCTTTTCACTACAAATAACAGATTTGCCAATCTATATGCCTTACCAAAATTTCATAAAAAAATCCTGTCAAATTTAGATTTATAGCCAATAGTACCAGAAACTTCAAGAAGAATTTTGATAATATTTTTACCAATCTACTTAGAACTATTTGTAATGTAGTTTTTGAACCAGTTAAAGCTGACAAAAACTTCTGCTGTCATTTACGACAACTTGAAAATCATTGAAGAAGTAAGAAATCTTAAAATTTCCAATATTAACTGCTATGACTTACCTGAATACCTGTACACATATCTACTACTCAAAGAAATCTACGAAAATCTTTTAGAAATAACAAATTTGTTTCCTGAAGTACTTAATATTCTGGATTTACAAAAATGGGAAAAAATTCTACATTTTTCGCTATACAATAACTGTATTAAACATTCAAAATCTCTTTACCTACAAATACAAGGAATTCAAATGGGAAGTTCTTATTCAACTCATCTTTGTAACTTATTTCTATTTTCTAAAGAATTCAAATTCCTAAAGAGCCTTTCTGATAATTATTTCAGTAAATTTGAACACACTTATAGACATATTGATGACATTATAACTTTCAACAGTTATAATCTCGTCAAAAATAGTAGCATCAACCCAAACTGTCTAAAACTTAATAAGACCAATTATAAAAAAAACAGAAATAATTTATCTCGTATTCATAATCTAAGAGAAATTAAACTTTTTGATAAAAGAGAAAATTTTAATTTTCTACTATTAAACTTATAATTTGGTTCTCCAACATATCTAAAAAGAGTTATTGCAAGTCCTGTTATTAACAAAATTAGCAGAATTAAAAAGGATTGCACTTAAATAGAAACACAAAAAGAAAAAAACTCTTAATTCTCACCAAAATTTTAAAAGAAAATTAAATTCATTAATAGTCTTTCAAAAAAGAAATCTGATATAGTCTGCACTGTATACTTTTTAAAAGTATGAACTTTTTATCTGAAAGCTCCAAAAGAGAAGAATGTTTTAAAGGGTTTACAGGATTTTTATTTATTTTTTCTCTTAATTACTATTCTGTTATTAAAACAAGCGCTTTCTATATTCAAAGTCGTCATGATAAGTTCATGACGTGAAGGCTTTTTACTTTTCTAACGATAGTTCCTCTACTTCCTTTTTCAAGCTTTCTTTAGCCTTTTTCTGTAATTTTAAATAAAAAAGTCTAAAATTCAACTTTATGAATATTTCTACATAACAATTATTAAAAACTTTTTGGGCACCCATTTTTGAGTCTACTATTTTTAAAGAATAATTGGTTCTGAAATATAATTAAAGTTTTACACTGAATGATATTCTTTATTCCCATTTATGTTTTAAAAGAGTCAAAATTTGCTTAAATTTCATTTTAATTAGTAATCTTTTTTAAATTAAAATTTTAATAGGTTCAAAAATTCCATCTTTTGTTCCAATTTTTTGCCTTTTGAGCGATTACTTTCTTGCCACAGTATTTTAGTTTCGCCAATGAAGCCAAAATATCAAACTTAAACATCACTACTGTAAAGATTTTATTCATAGTTTCGATCGTGTTCCATATGAAAGTGCTCAACGTGTTTAATTACTTCTTGTGAGTTTTAATTTAGTCTTTTCACTAAGTTATATACTTTGACTTACATTTAAATTCTTTTGATTATGTGCTATTTGTTCACTTTGATTTTTCCTTGCTTTGAATAGGGCGGATTTTTCAGGTGAACTATTATAATTAAAATGGTTCATTGGCTAATTCTGGATATAAAAAAGCAAGGATTTTTGTAGAAGAGAAATTTCAATTGATTGAGTGTTCTCCCTCCTGAAGAAGTAGCATTGAAGTTAATTGAATTCCTCTACTATTATGTTCATTTTTCTTTAAATTTCATTGATGTTTTGAATTGTTTGAAAATTTTTGGTTTTATCTTTATTAAATTCTTTATTGCATATATAGGATTATTTGAAATTTATTACTTATGAATTTCAATTTTTGGTCTTAGAGAAAAATTAGTTATAAATGTCTTACCTTATGTCTTTATTGATAATTTTTCAGCAGCTTAATCTGCAAAAATATTAGGCATGATGTGGTTTTGGTTTTTTAAAAAATTGTTTTGTGTTATATATATATATATATATATTCCTAATACTTTTAAGACATTAAATCATTATGAGAAAATTAGATATTTCATAGGGAAAATCCTTTATCATGGTCTGCATTTTTGCTGAAAGCCAGAAAAAGAATGTATGTATATTTAAATTTTTCAGTTTA